GCCAGCTACCGTAGGCATAAATCAGTCGGCTGTCCCATCTTTTCCATGTTTGTTTGGACGAATACCATCACTACTCGGGGTATACACCGTTGGCGTAGGTGCCGTAACTTGTCTAATATGGGCACGTATATCTATTCTTGGCGCGGCTGACAACCCCGACAAGGTGGTCAAGACACCGCCGTAGCCGCTTGCATAGTACTGGGGGGGACTATGAAAAACGACTTAAGGGGGGGTGGTGCGGGGGGGGGCAATAGGGCAATAGACGCGGGGAGAGTAGGCGCGGGGGGATAGGAGACGCACGGTATTGTCGATGACATCCTGGGCGCGGGCGTTGTCGTAGATGTCAACGGTCACGCCGCGCAGGGCGGAGATCTTGGAGGAGAGCTCGTCGAGGCGTGCGTTGTTCTGGCGCTCGCGTTCGTAGGCTTCGGACATGGTGGGCGGTGGAGGGGGAGGGGGGCAGGCGAGGGAAGTGATGCTGTTGACGATGTTTCACGCGGGCCGTGGTCTGGATGCGACGTCGAGTGGCGGCGATGGCTAGTCAGCGGTGGAGAGGATCGAGCCGTAAGGATGACAGTCAAGGCAGCAGCAGCAGCAGCAGTATCAGGTGGGCGGGTGTCGTCAGCTGTGTCGTTGATGGGTGGCGCGGTAGGGTATTCGGTCGGTCGGTCTTGTCGTCGGACGCGGGAGTGAGGTTGCGTGCAGCAGGACTTCGGGTCTTTCGCAATGGAGAGAACAAGGGGGGGGCGAGAGAGTGACGAACCCCAGCCGGAGCAGAAGGTCACAGGGGGGATGGCCTAGGCAGGGGGTGGGGGCCGAGACACGGCGGTCCAGCACTCTCACCTGTGTGGAGAGGGCATCGTGGCTCAGCCGTGACACCAGGCGATGCACCGCCACAATACTCCTTCTTTTCCCCTCAGCGGACTTTTTGGGTGCAGCGGTACAGCGGTACAGCGGTACAGCGGTACAGCGGTACAGCGGTACAGCGGTACAGCGGTACAGCGGTGTTGGGTGCTCTTTCCCCGCAGAATGATGGGCGGCCTGCTGCCCATAGCTTCCGCCTCTGGAGTCCGTGGGTGCCAGTCTGACGTGACGTTGGCATTGTCCCAGACCTACCTTAGGTACTTAGGCAGGCAACGACCACGAGCCTCGCCTCGTCAAATTTCGAGTTCGGGAGAACCCCGAGCTTTACTTTATTTCAGCATCTTGCCACGCCGTTGATCAAACCCATCTGGGTAGAGCTACGCAGCCAAGACTTAGTGCCGCAAACGAGAGGGAACCCAACTGCCCGACCCCCACTACGTAATCCGACCCGCCATCACTCACTCGCGCCTGCGCCTGCGCCCACCCGATCCTCCTACAACTAACTGGCTATACCTACGACCTAAACTCCACGACACTTCTTCCATCCTCGCCCCCCCCCCCGCCCACTGTCAGCCTTCTTTCTACCTCCTACTCCCTCCCCTTCAGCTTCTTCTGCCTTCCTCGACTTTGTATACCTCGTCAAACCCGGTCACGTCAACCATGGGTCTCAACAACCCACTCCCGTCGTCCATGGCGTGTATGTTGCATCACCCGCCCCATATTCCCCCAAGGCCCAAATTCCCCGGCCATTCCGTAGCTCGCCGGCGAACTGTGTCGACAAGCCGCATACCAGCTAAACTGACTTATCTTTCTGTAGCGGAGTGTAGGAAGTGCGGCAAGATCCTGACCTCCTTCATCGACCCGCGGCAAGCTTTTGGTCCCGACAAGATCATCCCACCGTCTGTCCTCGCAAACGCCAAGGTATACACGTCTCTTCGTCGAATTCTCGTCTGCTGCCGACCCTCGTCATATCCTGATCGCATTCATCACTACATATCATGATGACTCGTGCTGACTCTTCCTTCTGCAGGGCCTTGCCATCCTCACCGTTCTCAAAGCCGGCTTCCTCGGCTCCGGTCGCTTCGGCAGCGGTCTCGTCGTCGCTCGCCTACCCGATGGCAGCTGGAGCGCACCCAGTGCCATCGCCACGGTCGGCGGCGGCTTTGGCGGCCAGATCGGCTTCGAGCTGACCGACTTTGTCTTCATTCTCAACGACGCCAATGCCGTCAAGACCTTTGCTCAGGCCGGCTCCCTGACCCTCGGCGGCAACGTTTCCCTCGCAGCCGGTCCCGTCGGACGCAATGCCGAGGCTGCCGGTGCTGCCTCCCTGCGCAGCGTCGCCGGCATCTTCTCCTACTCCAAGACAAAGGGTCTCTTTGCCGGTGTCTCTCTCGAGGGCTCTGGTATCATCGAGCGCCGCGACGCCAACGAGAAGCTCTACGGCACCCGCTACACTGCCCAGCAGATCCTGTCTGGCGGCGTTGCGCCGCCGCCCCAGTCCCAGGCTCTCATGACCATTCTCAACGGCCGCGCCTTTTCCGGCCTCGGTCGCAGCGGCTCCGTCGCCGGCAACGACCCCATGTACAATGACTCGCCGGTCTACGACAACAACCACGACGACGTTGTCTGGAACGGCCGTCGCGGTGATGCCATGGGCGAGGGCATCTCGCGCCGCGAAAGCCAGTACGGCGACAGCCACCGCGACGACGGCTTCGGCGGGCCCAAGCGCAGCAGCACTTGGCAGGACGATGTCTATGATCGTCCCTCGGGTGGAGGCGGTGGGGGCTTCGGAGGCGTCTCGCGGTCCAACACATTCGCATCGCGTCGCGACGATGATGACGGCGTCTTTAGCAACAGCAGAACAAACAGCGGCTTCGGCGAGTCCAGGACCGGCCCCGGCCGGCCGACGGCGGCGAAACCCAATTTTGCGCCCAAGCCGGCGCAGCTGCGACAGAACGAGGCCGTGGCCGTCTTCACCTTTGACGCGGATCAGCCGGGCGACCTCGGCTTCAAGAAGGGCGAGGTCATAACTGTGACGAAGAAGACTGACAGCGCAAATGATTGGTGGTACGTTTTTTGTCTGTAACTGACTTGATCGTGGTGTGAACATGCTAACACAAAGCAGGACCGGTCAAATCGGCGGCAGGACTGGCATCTTCCCCAGCAACTACGTCAAGATGAAGGAGTAGAGCCATAGAGTCAAAAAAGAAATTGTACAGACTGACGCAAAGGGCGTGGAGAACTGGACGGCTGCTACAACATCTATGTTTGGGTGACACATACGAGGGCAAATCCACGAAATCTAGCAAAGGATGGGAAACGTCAGAGGGCGATTCGAGAGGGAGGTGGAGCGGATGGACGACCTTTTTGCCCTTTTCTTTCTTCCTGCTTCTTCATTTCTTCCACTCATGATGCTCACGGGGGACCAATGATACCCTCTTTACTTCCTGTCCTTGGGTTCGCGGTTCTGTCGCTGCTTGATTCACTGGGTTGGATTTCCCTGTTGGCTGGCGCGGTACGGCGTTGCTGGTGGGGTCTTTTTGGTGCTGTTGTGTAGGAGATATCAGAAATCCGCTTTAGATTATTTGCATTTTGATTTCTGCTGGCAACAGGAATTGCTTTCATGTTTTGTGCTCCAGCATCTATCTCACAGACATGGCATGGTAGCTCTTGGTCAACAGTGAGGATCCCACTCTGTAGTCCACCTGGACTTTGCGAAGCGTAGTAAAACGACCGAGTGCTCCTCCCCTGCGATGCTACATTCTCATGCATATCTAATAACCATCGCATCCAACTCTGTGTCCGTCCATTGCCAATGCCCCTCCCAGAATAGTCATATTCTATGAAGATCTAAAGAGAGAAGGGGGGAGGGGAGGGGGAGAAGCACTCGATGAAACAACGGCATGCGCAGCTTTAATCCAGCTCCGTCGGCGCCCAGATGACTTTCCCAGCCTCCTGGTCTTCGTGGAACCAACCCTGCTTCTCCCGGCTCCAAGTCCAGAACTTGTGCGCCGGGTCGTTGACAAAGTCAATGTGGCTAGGGATCTGCTCCTCCGGCACAGCCGGCACATAGACCGCTGGCTTGCGTCGCTCCCGTGGGTCCGCCGCCGGTGTCATGGCAAGGTGGATCGGAACCGCATGGCCCGGCCGTGCGACGGAATCGGCACACGCGCGACGACGCCGACCAGAAACGGAGCCCTGCTGAGGACGGTGCGACTGCTCACTGGTGGCCTGTGTGGATGCCAAGCTTGCAGACTCGGCCCCAGAAAGGTTTGTAGTCTGGTTCGTGGAGCTTGATCTCGGTGTATGGCTTGGATTGCGGTCTCGCCGCAGCCTGCTGCTTCGACGTGGATGGGTGGTGGGGCTCGGTTGTTCTTCTTCGGCTGGTGAGCGGGCTTTCTCGGCCATATTCGCTGTCCTTTGGCCACGTTGACTTGGGTGAACTTGGGGCTAGCAAATGTGTTTGTAAATGTGGCTGCTGAATGGACAGAATGCTCAGGAAATGGTGTGCTGGTCTTGCCACCCTACAGACTCCCAGAAAACCAGGTAGAACGTGCGACTCTTTTTTGGGGGGAGGGCATACTATGAAGCCCCGAGCCAAGATGCGACTTTACTTCAGACATCCTCACTTTATATACGTGGCGAAGATTTGATCACTATACTCATAGGCGCCAAAATGTCAGTCGAGCGAACAAGATGGTAGGATTTCCGCCCCATTTATTAACTGCGCTTTGGCCTAGAGTACGCCCTGACTGCGTGTGCCCATGCCTTCCAACCATTCTATCATGATCATCTAACTCGCAGAAGGCGATGTCTTGGCTATGAGCAGCCTAAGACGCCCTGGTTTGATGCTGTAAGTCCGGCAGCCTCATCGTGACCTAAAGCTATGAATAGACGAGACGCACTGCCAACGCCATGCATCCTCTTCCACACCACTTTTGAGTCCATTCCATTAACAATCATTGTCGGAGGACAGACTGTCACCGTGATGGTGGTTGCCATCAAGAGCCAAGACTGACATCCCGGTTCAAGGTAAGGCACGAGTGCAGCAACCAGATCCAGCTGAGCCCCGACGGCAAGGCTGTGGGGAGGTAGGTGACGGCCACTTGATTCAATATCGCTTCACTCCAAGGGTCCCCGACTTAATTGATTGGTCTCGGTATCGCTACGGATGACGCGCTGTGATATAAACTCAGGTCGCTGACAGGTAGTGATTGGAAATGGAAAATACCAATGCATGCCGAAATTCCAATGCGACATCATGCACAGAGTCTTCGTGCCTTCGATTCTTGTCACAGCCGTAATCAATGCACGTGCGTGATCAGAACATTTCTGCTGTAGAAGCGCTGCACTCTTCGGAAAGGCAGGGTTTTTTTTTTTTTGCAATTGCAAGATAAATTTCTCTACAATGTGAAATGGTTGTCGACATGGACTGTAAATTCGAGTGGGTAAAGCAAGTTGTAACCCGGCGTTCGTCGGTACGCCAGTGATGCCTAACCTAAGGTGCTGATGTAGGCAGTGACCCAGATGTGTCTTGTGAATAATTCTTCTGGATACGCGTCTCCTGAGCAGTTTGGTGTGTGTTACACACCATGGCCCAACACCCCATGGCCCAACACACCATGGCCCAACACACCATGGCCCAACACACTATGGCCCAACACACCATGGCCCAACACACCGTGGTCCAAGATTAAAACGCCGAGCCGCATAGGTCTTATCTGTGGTGCTTCCCTATAAGAAAATTTTCTTTGCATTAATTCAGGCTCGCCTTCTACGAACAGGTTCGCACTGATGTATGGGCCCTTAACAACACTGCCCCTTAGAATCTTCAGTTGGAACATATATCGATACCAAAGCTGTTCGTCAGCTCGTAATCCTCGTTGCAACATCTCACGAAATCAAAGAATTCTTTAAACGGAATACAATCTCTCGAAACCAGTAGGAATACCATCTTCCCACGGACAGCGACTATAAGTTATTCCATCTGTCAACCGACATCCTGCCCTTCCGGTCCGGCCAGTCAATTTCGTGCCCCCTTTCATCCCACACAGATCCCAGGTCAGGGTTGTTGCTCGGTCGTCGATTCATCTTGGTCGTCTTTGGAACCAGAAATACATCAGAAACGGTGCGACAGACTCCGGATATTCTTTGGCTTTGTTCTTTCCCATATTTCCATGTAGCTTGGCTTCACGCAAGGCGTTGGGCCAACAACTTGAACTGCTGCCATGGCGAACATCAACCAAAACCACAGTGATCGCTCCCGCGATGCTGATGACTTCATCCTATGGACTGCATCTGGAGTGGCCCTCGGTATGCAAGCCTCAGACATTACCAGTGGACCGATGGTCGTGGGTTCTTCAAACGGTGAACCAAGTTCGTTCGATGTTACGTTGATCTCACAGACCCTTGGAATGGACACAGAGGATATGACCAGTGGAGCAACTCCGTTGCAATTTGCCTTGGAAACCCAGAATACCACACAAGAACAAGCCAGTGCTGAGGACCGATCATGCCCGTTGGATGCTGAGATGACAAACGGGCAATTTTCCGAACGTTTCGAGATAGAAATCGAGGATACGTACGGGATATTCCAACCCGTGGGCGCAGTTCACACCGCATCAAAACACACTGCCATAGCAGCGGACCTGACCAGGCTGTACGATATCGACAGCCTTGAGCTGCCGCCGCCTAAGCAAGGGAGGGGATACATGACCGGATTTGGGCTCCTGTCCGCGCAGCGATACTTTCCGACCACAGTCCGCATACTTCACTTCGGAATCCCTGAAATACCTATCCAAGCTGTTGCTATGACAGAAGTTCGTCCCGCTTGGTTTTCGGAAAGGCACATTTACATTGTCATCGGCAGCTCTCTCCGGAAAATGCTACTCAAAGCCCGTGATGCTGTGCCCAGACCATCTCTGCCTCCTCTGCAACAGGCCGAGTCGGCTCATCGCCTCATCTCCACACACCCTCGCGTTTTTAGGGAGACCGCTAATGGCTCTGGACCCCTTGTATCACAAAGCGCACTTCGACCCCCTTCTCGTGTTGCTGCAGGTGTTTCATCTGGTTCGAGGACAGGGCTTCAAAGGACTACCCCTGGACGTCGTTCGCGTAAGCAGCTTTCTCGCGTCGAGGCTACTTGTATTTTTCTAATGGCGTAAGATTCTAGGCTACCGATACGAAAAGAGGCAAAGGAGCATAGATACTCCCTTTGAGCAACTTGGCAGAAGCTCTATTCACCGTGCTATCTCGGATCCGAATTATTCAACATCTACCCGGTTCACTCCTACCTTCCCGCAACAGCATGGCTCCCAACTGTTAGCGTCACGATCTCGAGCAAAGCTGCAGTCACCTCCTCATCTCGTTCTCCCATCCGACATCAGCAGTATGTCGGACAAGTTCCCAGCTATCCCAGACGCTGGGGCTATCATAGCACAATCATCAACCATCGAGGAGTCCATCATTCTCAACAGACTAGCCTCCGATGCTCATGATCTTAATGACGATCAGGAATGATGTTTCAATTCGATGGGCCAGTTTCAGTTATGAGTGTTCTACTTTACCAGAGTATGGCAGTTTGGCAAGATAAGCCTTTATCACCAGGATCTTCAGGCTTAACATCAGTATTTTTCCTTTAGATAGGGATGTCGCCCTTTTCGCGGATTATCTCTTCCCTATATCTCTTTCCTAGTGTGAATCTGCTTTATGAATGACGTTACATTATCCATTTTCTTGTTACCAGATTTGAGACTGTGGCTCCGATATCACAAAGAAAAGGCATGTACAAAATCTTGGATAAAGAAAAGACAGGGTGCATCTGCACGAAAAAAAGGCAGCTGGCAACAGACCTCAGGCTTTGGTCATGGGAGGGCTTATCTTTAGTTTCAGTTCGAAGAGCCTGTCAAAAGACGTTTTCTGTTGTAGGCAATATGCGGTAACCCATCTAATCATGATATAGAGTCATTTGGTTCAGTCACTAGTCAAATTCATTGGAACACAACCTCGGATGTTGTTGGGGTTTCATGGGAGGCGAAGTACTTTTCCTTGGATTGGTTACGAGCGTCTTTAAGTTATTTTCGATGCGACTGGATTTTTTTTTTTTGGAATAGTTGGCGTCAAGAGAACTATGCTAATCTGAAATAAAGCAGCTGTACAGATTGACGTTCAGCAGTGAACTAGTGTCAGGCGACCCTGCGGAGCCGCCAAACAGGGGGTAGGTCAGAGGCTAAGGGCTACGAGAAACGTATATATATAGACTGCGGAGGGCCAGAATTTAAATGTGTTTCAAACCCCTACCTATATCCTATTGCCTGCGGACTACGTTTGGAAGACCTCTTCACTATGTTCTAAATAACGCTTTGACAATTAGTCATGACCCTGAATCACACAAGTGGGTTGATCGAATATTCCACGCAATTTATTATGGTTGGCCCTAGATGTGCTTGGTGATGGCTCTTACACATCCGTAAATTTGATAACGTAAAGCTGGCCGGTTTAGCTAAACTGATTTGACATTGAGTCAACATGAGACTCAGTTGGACTGCTTTCGTAGAGATTTAGGCCCAAGTATTGAACAACCCACGAGTCTTGTCAGAGCGTTGTTAGAACAGAGTGAAGAGGTCTTCCACACTTGGTCCGCAGCAGATAGAAGATAGGTCGGGGGTCGGAATACATCTGAATTCTGGCCCTCCGCAGCTTGGAGGGCCCTCCGTAGCCTATATATATACGTTTCTCGTAGCCCTTAGCCTCTGACCTACCCCCTGTTTGGCGGCTCCGCAGGGAACCCGCAGGGTCCCCTGACAAGTCTTACCCGTAACACAACTGAGTTGAGTAGTCTTTTCACAACCAACTTCTTTAATCTCTTGTCAGTGCTTGATTTAGAGCAGAGTGAAAAGGTCTTCCATATGTGGTCCGCAGCGGCTTGGAATATAGGTAGGGGGTCGGAATACATCTGAATTGTGGCCCTCCGCAGTCCTGATACCCCCCCCCCTGGTAATCCTTAGCGCCTAAATGGG